CACCGTCTTCTGCTCCATTGTGTCTTGGTTCCATCGGCTCCTCTTCCGCTTCTTATTTGGGAAGTCTAAAGGCAGATAAAGTCAATCAGATGTAAACAGAAACCAGCACAGTAACCACCAATTCAGGTTACTTATGACATTATACATAGCCTCAGCAGACTATGAAACAGAACTTGACCTAAAATGTAAATGGCAAATAACAGAAGACAAACCTGAGAAATCAGAGACATGTGGCCAATACAAAGGCACCTGGACATGGTTCTGAAAAGTTAACATTTCAGAGAAACTCTATGAAGTATGTAAACAAGCTAACAAATCTTAACGCATAAAATTTCGCAGGGGGAAATAAAGTGTTGAGAACATATATACATCATCCATGAATGCTTTTAAAGCCCCAGGAAAGACAAGAGTAGAATGAATAAATCAAACAAATTTATAAAGCTATCTAGGGGGACTACTAGCTCCTCCCACTCCACCTCCCTACCAATCACCTTTCTAAATGCACCAGAGCACAGCACCACCTATGGCTGGATTCTTCAACCAGACTACTTTTCTCTTCAGTTTAGTCAATATCACCATTCAATTTTGCTGGCTAACTAGACACTTAATGTCTAATATATCAAAAGTTCAACCAAGAACGAACTGTAAAATAGTAGCCAAATCCTTCTCCAATACATAGGGAGAAAATCACTACACATTTGGCACACAAAAGCAGGCCTTGGGGGAAGCTCCAACAACGAGGTGTATCAGACTTCTCTAATTAAAAGGTTGTTAGGAAAAGAGCCACACTAGGTCAAAGACAACCATCCTCTGAAAACTTTCAAACTCCTTCGTTTTCTGTAGTGAAAATCCTGCTTTACAATCGAAATAGAAGAGCTATTCTTGGTACTTTCGTCTCTTTCAGACTCCTCTACAACCAGGAAGAGGATGTTCCACGTCATCACTTGACCCTTTGACACCCTCCTGACACGCACATCCAGCACCCTGTCCACCACTCAACCCCCAGCACACCTCTCCCTTACACCAGGGGCCGGAGAGCAACAGGGGGCCCCCCAGCTTTTAGTCTGGCTGCACAGCTTGGCCTCACACTGCGCCTGCGCACAGCAAACCTCCCGCCCTGACCCCCCCGCAAAGAGCGCGTGCGCACTCGAGGCTCGAGAA